CTTTTCAAAGTTTTATTGATAAACATATAGCAATGAGACAGTTTCAAATCAAATCGAAAGTACAGTTTCAACAAATAATACACTGCATATATTCTTCTTTACACTTATTTATTTGCCCTCAACTAAAAACAGTGCTGCAAAGTCTGTGAAACTGGTAACAATTTCCAAAATAAGCTCAAATCCATCTATATTTTATTTCAGATTGACATCTACAGAATATCTATTTACTAAAGCCTTCCTCTTTAATCTTATTTTGAGCCTACTTTCTCTTAATGAAGTATCTCTTTAAAATTCCTTATTTCTGTACTTTTTAGCTTACTACTTTTTACTTTGGTTCTCAATCCTTCAAGCACCTGTGAGTGAACATCTTGACAAAAAAGTAAGTACATTGAACAGTTGTAGTCCAAGGGAGGGTCTAATTTTCAGCATGCAGAAAGCCCTCATTTTTTTTTCTTTTTTGAGGAAGTCAAACTATTGTCATATTTATTATTTTCGTATGAAAAGAAATATACATGTGAATTTTACTCATTGGAAACTTTTCATTGCTGGAGCAAAATACCTCACATGCACATTTTAAAGAAGGAATGGCTGATTTTGGTTTGCAGTTCAGGGCTGTCAGGCCATGGATGAAAGCTCTCATTTCAGTCAACAGAATCAAAACAAATATACAAAAACAATGTAGGAAAAATTCTATGCCAAGTCCCCAAATAGAACATGGAATGCAGGTTCCTTGGATAGGGGCACATGCTGCCATGATGTTAGAATAGCCACCAAATGAAGTCCATGTTCAATCAAGGGTGAAAACTGCTACTGATACGCCTAGGTACACATGTGCTTGAAAGATGTCCACACTCTGCACTGCCAGGGCTGCCTTGTTGCTGCACCTCTCATATCTACCTTTCTATCCCCTGAATCACCTGGAAAGGCTCCACAGGTTTGCATGAATATCAAAGTTTGAACACCTCTTTGGATTAAATGATAGTTCTTAATTTTGACCATATGTGGGAGTCAATTAAGGAACTGTAAAGTACATATCTCTGGCAGGAGAGATTATAATTCATCAGGTTTATTATAGAGCAAGCATTTTTAAGTATCAAGAGCTCTGAAGGGAATTAACAGAGTTAAGACTGACTGTCTGATTTGCAGGCCAAGTTGAAGAACTTATTTGACTCCACTGCTCTGTCTGCCCTCACCTACCTTCCTGTAATGAGTCAAAAGTTTTAATCTGCATGATCTGCCAGGCTATAGTAGCATGACCAATATTAAAATCCAACCCTTACCATCAAAATTACTGTCTTGTGTTTCCATTTGTAAAGTGTAGCAGCGAGCACTGCTTGAAGTGTCACAGCTGGCCAGGAACAGGAAACAGCCCAGGAGAGATAGCTGTAATGTAAGAAATGTCAGAAAAGAGAGTGAATGGATTCAAACTGTCATCTTCTACTTGGGTGGAGGGGGACACACATAAGACTTTCTGGTCTTTGACAAGTGGTTTTATAGGTAGCATTTCTTCCCTCTGGTTATATGTGCAGGACACAAATCCTACATAGTCACTTCACAAATGATGCCCAGAATGGAGTATGTGTCAAGAGCCTTTCAGTAGCAGCAAATGTGTGCTTTCTTGTTACTGATAATGTTCAGGAAACCATTGATGAAAATGATATTTATTTACACAGTTTTACAGAAATATATAAATTATAAAAGGCATAAATAGAAAGAATGTTTTTGAAATTAATAAAACATGAGCAAAACAGAGAGGGAAAGTACAGAGCATGCAAGACCGGCTTTCCGAGAGTTATTTGGAGAGTGTGACTAAGCAATTACAGCAATACCTTAGTCAGTTTCCTAGTGGCTGAGACACAATACCAAGCACCTGAAACTCCATGAGGAGAGGTTTAGTTTTACTCACAGCTTGTACAAGTTTCAGTCCTTCCATGGTCAGCAGCACGGTGGAAGTTCCTGATACTGAGGAAGTCTACTGATGTCTGGGTGGCCAACAAGCAGAGTGAGATAAAGGGTGGAGCTGGAAGACAGATATATCCTACCAGGTCACGCCCACAGCGACCTGCCTCTCCTGACCAGATGCCACCTCTGAACAGCAAGTCAGCAATTCTACCCCCATAGGCCATGCTCCTTCCAGAAGCTTCAGCTCTGAATGCATGTGGCATTTGAGATACATCTAGATAGAAATGTAAGCTTTCACGTCTTGCCCCACAAAAGACTCATGCACATCTCTTTACACAAACTACATTTAGTCTACTTCTAATTGTTACCAAAATTCTAATAATTCCATTGTTGCTAAAATGCCCATATCCAAAATTTTCTCTGAGATTTAAAGCATACTCTTGTCAGTCATGCCACACATTAAAAAGAATGTTAAAAACAGCCAACATAATGTAGTACAGGTCATATTTTGCCCATTCCAAAATGAAGAATAGGAAACGAGGAAGAAACATGACTAAATGGAGACAAAACACAGCAGGACAGAGGGTAAACCCTGTGGCTTCAAGTCCAGCACCACAGGCAAAAGATGTTAAGATATACACTACACTTACAGCACTGTTGATGGTTGCTTCTTTGATTGTTCCTGTCTTGGGTTGGCTTTGCTCAATAATCCTCAGCTTCATTCAGATATTGCAACTTCAGGGCTTCTCCAAGTTCATTAGTCATCACTGCACTTTGGACTTCACGCCCAGCTTCACACACTGTTCTCGGTAGCAAGTATTCTGGCCTTCTAGGCTTTCTTTCCAAATCTGAATGAAAGTCTCCATAACCTGACAATGTTTGCATTTTACATGCCCTTAAAACTAGCAGCACTAGGAAGACACCAAGGTCATCCTTGATATAAAGTACTTGAGTTATTTTTATACTTGTTTTTTCAGCAACCAACCTCTCCTGTGTTCTGAATTTGTAGGCACAAACTTTATTGAAGTTTCCTTTCTGGCCAAATTCCACTTTTAAAGTCAACCAGCTGTGCTGTTTGCTCCTACTGCTCAATGTAGACCTGGATAAAGTTCCCAACGTACCTCTACCACAGTTTCAAAATCAGGCAACCTTGCAAATTCCAAGACCAGTTTAGTTAACCCAATGCCCTTAATTTCGGTACCCCACAAAATGTTAGTATATGAACAAAATATAGGTAAACTTTTTCCTAGCACTTGATACACAGGGCCTGAAAACATGAGGACTAAGAAAACAACCAAGAAGGCTGATGAATAGAGAAGGAAAAAGCACCTGACCCTGTGATTATGGGGCTTCATTCATTGACTTGAAGCCAACTTCTGGTCTGCCCAGGTAGCACGAATGCTGTGATAGAGACCAAGATGCTCAGGCACAGACTGAGCGTTGTGGCCAAGTTGAGGAAGGCATTTTGGGAAGGGTTAATTGTGACAACTTTGGGCCTTTCTCTTATGTTCTCCATTTCATAAAATGTAATGTGGTCCTAACCATAGAGAATGAAAGGATTTCTTTTAAAAAAAAGAAGCCCCACTACATTTAGCAAGAGCAGGACTCTGAATTGTACTTGTTTCATTTTCCATTTTCATGAGCCTCAGGACCAGCAACACTGGAAACTTTCAATTTTCTTCACCCTTGAAACCTATCTCAGTACAGAGCATTAAACTCTATACGTAGAAAGGTTTCTAGAGGCTGTGGTAATCTCAAGGCTCTGGAGGGTCTTTTCATTGTGTCAGAGATAAAAGGTATTAGAGAAGAGCCTAAGCAGCCTGCCAGGGCCAATGAACCAGACAAGATCCTGACCCTCCCAGCTCTGGGGCAAGGACACAATATTCAGTGACTAGGGACAGAATCCAGACTCAGTAACAAGGAAGACCAAGTTACTTATTTACATTTGAGATTACACATTTGACAATATCTGAGCTCTCTTTTTCTCTTAAGCACACTGTTCTCACTTGTAAGAACAGGTCTCTCACCTCGTTGGACACCACAGTTCTCTAGGGAGCTCAGTTTAATATGCAACCTCAGGGTCTCTGAGGACACACATGGCTGAAATCTTAGGAACCTGACCTTGTCCTTGTCAGATCCACAGAAAAACTGACCACATCAGTGTCTTTAATACGCAAGTGTATCTTTGAAGAATGTTGGGCATATGGTGCTGGTCATTTGTGCCTCGGTATTTTCTTTTATTCCTCTCATCTTCTCTTTTCTTTTTTTCTCTTTCTATCTGTTTGTCTGTCTGTCTTTCTGGATATCTGACTGTCTTTTTGAGGCAGGGATTCACTGTACAGTTCAGGCTGGCTTTTAACCCACTTTGTAGCCAAGGCTGGCCTCTAACTTGCAGTGATCCTCCTTCTTCAGTCTCCCAAATGCTGGTATTAGAGGTGTGCACTACCGTACCCATCTCTGCCTCAGTATTCTGAAGACTCAGAAGTCCTTCTCATGCTGCTATCAATGCTGAGTCTGAGGACCACCAATGGTAGTATGGCTGTGTGAAACTGGGGGGAAATAACATTGTTACAACTACTGACCTCATACTCTTCTACTATAAATTTGTACTTTAGCATAATATCGGCTGCGCATCTCAATGGCTGCAACTGGGTGATACACAAAGAAGTGTTCATTTTTATGCTTATCCTCTTGGTGTGAGGAACAGGAAGGTATGTGCTTGTGTGAAAAGTGTCAAGCTGGGATTTTTACCTACATAATGTTCACCTAACAGATTTCTCTTATGCTTTCCTGAACACCACAGAGAGTAAAGTATGTCCCCTCCACTCTTCTGGTGTTTTTTTTTTCTTTTCAAAGTTTTATTGATAAACATATAGCAATGAGACAGTTTCAAATCAAATAGAAAGTACAGTTTCAACAAATAATACACTGCATACATTCTTCTCAGTGGTTAATTGCTGTACAAGATGCAGACTTGTGATCCTACTTACAAACACCATTAGAAAAAATCATTCTATTCATTAAGAGAATGCAACTATATATCTATCCTAACCACTTTGAATACACAGATACAAAATGGACATTCATAGTTATACCCCAATTTTTTTTTTAAGTTCCGTTGTTGGATATTATAGGTGTGTAAACTCAGCAAAATATTCTAAAAGAGTTCAGAAGCCCATAATATCATTGGGTCTTCTGTTCAACTGGCAATGTCAGAAATTATTGACCTGAGTCCCCCACAGCTCAACATAACAACATGGCTTTACTTCCTATATTTCATCTTCATACTTTTCTACTGGATGGTCAAGACCAAGGTAAAGCAGGACCTGTGCAACAAGAGTTGTAGCTTTTTGGTCTGACAAGGTCAGTGAAATGCCCTCAGGATTTATCTTGAGATCCTGTACCTCAGACTGTAGTTAAACATGTATTTTGTCTTAATGAAGTGGGGTATAACTCCAGGAACTGCCCCTTGGAAAGCAAAACCCAAGCAGGGATGAGTAAGTTTTATCTACACAATTCTTATTGCTAAGTTCCTGTACATTTAGGGTTTGTTTCCAAAATGTTTTATTTTTATTTTTCTGGTAGAAGTAGTCTAATTCAGTACAGTGACACATAAAAATCAGATTTGCAAATTTTGCAGATCATGCATAGATAGTAAAGATGATAAAGGGCCAACAAGATAGCTCAGTGGACTAAGTACCTGCTTTGGCAAGCACAGAAACTAGGGTTTGATTCCCGGTTCCACATGTGGCACTGGCCCTGGGCGCAGGCCACTTTGAACCTGCAACCCAGTCTGGGAATGGTGGCTCACTCCTGTAATTCCAGTGCTGGGGAGGCTGAAAGCAGGAGGATTGATATGAGTCTAAGCTGTGCAGTGAGATCCTGTACCAAATACATAAAATGGGAAAAAAAAAGATTATGCCTATAATGTTTGCCTTGTGAGCTAAAGACACTGACTGGAACAAGAATTGACCAATACAGACTCAGGAAATGAAGACCTTCTTGGTCCACAAGATGAAGACAACAGCAATATGGGTACATATTTGACAAGTATACATGGTACAAAATGATACTGCAATGGAATGGAATGATCCAATGATAGAACTAAGTCCAAAACTATAGTGAAGATCTTGGCAGGGATGGGAAGACTATTAGCTGGAATACCAGCCCTACCATTCAGTGTTGAAAATTGTTTATAACAGAAAAAATTCTGCAAGATGGTGAAATGCATAAATGTCTTAATACAAGTATATTCACCAATAGCCACACTTTATTGTACCTTTTGGATCTTATTTCCCCTTTTAGTTTCTTATACTAGGGAAACAACATGGTGTTTACACATGTGAATCTGGTTTATTTCACTTAAGAGTATGGTCTCTAGTTGTACCCATTTGCCTGTAAAGTCTTTGGGTTTATCTTTCTTTATAGTTGAGTAATACTTCATTATGTAAAAATACCACATCATTTTTATTCATTCCACAGGTGATGGGCATAAGGAAACAACTCAAAAGGAAAAAACATTGGGATGGGAAAAAGGGAATAAGAAGGAAGGGGAAAATATACAAGATTGTACTTCTAATTTCTATTAGTTTGTTGAAAGGAACAGTTAGTGCTTATATTATTTCATTAGCTTATTTATTTATTTTAAAATCTTTTGTCATTCATTGGAAACATCCTTAATACCTAGAGACTAGATATTATAAAGCTAGGACTCATGTCCAGTGTAAACAGCTATATATACAGTAAAGTTAAATGAAATTCATGTAACATAACAGCAATGGATAAGCTGAAATTTTCTACCACACATTTAACACCTTCCACAATTTCTCCCCCCCCACCTCTTTCCAGCCAGTGAGCAAGTACTATTTACAGGTGGCTTAAACATTCTATTTGCAGACACAGTATTTTCTATCAGTTTATAAAACCTATTTACAAAGTGTTATTCTATTCTACTTCTAAATGTATCAAGCACTTCTAGATATCTAAAACTAGATTTTTCACATAAGAACTCATCTGCCATCATACAGCAGCAATACATAAAATTGCACATACATATAGCAATGGTTGTAATCTGAGGTATCTTCTAAGTGTGACCACTTTGGCCCCACTT